AGAGAATGAGCCTCAACCTCACCTTTCCTTTCATGAGCATGTAAAATAGAATTAAAATCATCCAAAATCGTCCAAGCATAATCAATATCAACAACAAACTTCTTTAAATCATCCCAAAGGAATAGTATCTTGAATGACACAAAACTTGAATTCTCAAAACATCAAGATCCCAAAGACACCAAATACTACTAGAATGGCTTGAAGCTTCCTTAATCAAAGTGTCATCCAACTCAATTCTTTGAATAGTTTTATCAACCTTTTGACCACTAGAATGAGTCTCTAACAAGAAAATGATAGAAGAAGAATATTTTCTCGTAATATCATTGATAAGAGACCTATTAGAAGTCCCTCTACAGTGTTAGGACAAAATATTCACCAGGAACTAATACAGATGTTGACCTAGCCTAGGTTGATTGGGCTCACATAAAGCCTTTACTTCAATATCCATACCTTCATAGTCACCTACCTTATCCTCTTGAAATCCCAAGGCAGTATCATGCTCACTATACTCTAGTGGAAGGGTAGATGCGCCACTGTGAATAGATAAGGCATGTTTTTGTCGGATGGTCTCCTCATTAAGAAGACAAATACTGGTTGTCAAAGGGTTTAACACAATGTTTTTTTTTTCAAAATCAAAACCTGATCATTTTTCTGTAAAAATAATGAATCAATCTCAAAGATTCAAATTCCATATAAGGTGAGTTTGTATTATGATTCAGCGCATCCACTTCAATAACTTTGCTCTTTGAGTTTTCCCCAAAATTTCCAACAATGCTTGTTTTTGAAGTACTCATTGGCTTTTCTTACAAAATATTACCTTTCTACCCCTCTCTGGTAAACAAAGTCATCTTGCTTTTGGCCCTATCATTATTTTTTTACCTATAGGTCCACCATTGGCTCCAACCTTCTTATGACCAAGTGGACCATTCACTCTATCCTTCTTTTAACTAGATGGGCTAGGATGTGCAGTTCTATATGATTGTGTTTGTCCAAAGATCATGGTGTTTGATAAAGAAGACTTTTCAATATCTACTAGTTTCTTTAAAATATCAAAATTTGGACCTATCATTAATCTTTTGCCTTTTAAAGTCAACTATATTTGACCTCTTTAGAACAAAATCATAATTTATTTTATTATTGCCTACCATTTGTTTTCTCTTAATATTCTTTTTCATTAATAGACATAGGTCATATAATTTCCCATCCAAGGTTTGTGCCTTAGGATTCAAAGAAGACCTGATACCTCCAAAATTAAGATCATTACACACTTACCATTAATATCCACTCTGGCCATTGATTACATCAAAGTATCTTTCACCATAATGTTATTATGATCTCACCTATCCCCTTCCATGCCACTAATTTGACTTATTTAAACCTCTAGAAGCTTGAGAATCACTTTTTCCACCCATACACACATTTTCCTTGTGCTCATACCAACCTCAATTAAAGCATATGGAGTGTAAAAACTCATATTGCAACTTGATTAGATAACCATGAGCTATAACTTTATGTTGGAGCGATTTTTCAAGATCAAGTTCAACATAGATTTGGGCAAACTTCCTTCTTGATTGGATTGTTATCACTCTATCAATCTTCACCATCAATCCTAATGTAGAACCAAGTCTACTCAAGAATTAATCATTAAATAATTCTATCGGTAGTTTTGGAATACAAACCTGGACAACCAACCTACTATCCACATTTGTATTAGCAAGAAAAAATAGTCCCCAACTTTGAACTAAGATATAGTGATTTGCCGCTATCCATGGACCCTCCATAAGGAGTGGTTATAATCTTCATCAAATGTAAATAAGACTTGATAATAATTATGAGGCACATCAATAATCTTAAAGGAACCCTTCTTTACCTAGATGCAGTTGAGCTTGGCTTCAAGTTGTTTGAAACTCACTTACAATCCTAACACTATAACCATCAGCGACCCTTTCCAAGGTTTGCACCATTCTGAAAACTCATCATCCAAAATAGGCACATCTGGAAACCTCTTAGAGTCCTCCTTAGAGATCGAGGGTGGATGAATTTCTTTATTAGGAACCCCAAAACATCTTCCATCAAAAGGTGAGAAAGGGAATGCACCTTTAAGAGCAAGAAATTTCTCCTTATAAGAGTCATTTCCCTTACCTTCAATAATACCATCATCCATCCCTACATTATCTTCTCCCTCATCCATTTTTCTTTTAATCTTTCTAGTGCTTCGCAAGAGTAAGTCATCCTCCTCCTTGGAAGACTCAACCAAAATCCTAGCAGAACTTTTAGATGCCATTTTATGTTTGTTCCTTTGCACACTAGCAAAAGTTAGATACTCAATCTTGTGATCTTGTGTTTGAATATGTAATCAACTTTTTTGTACGCATGTTGAGAATTCTAATATATGCATATGATATTGAATATTTATTGAGTACTCTCCTCTATATTAATACATTATGACATTAGAGACATTTTTTTAACATTATCATTTCAAAAATTTTATTTTCCTTGATCAAAATTTATTAGAAATAGTAAATTTTGTAAATCTTCCATTTTATTTTATTCAGCGATAGGGTATGCAAAAATTTATAACTTTTAATAACAATTAATAATGATAAAGAGTATTGGAAAAAAATATTAAAAGGGGACCAATATTAAATTCGGTAATAAATGGAAGTGGTCCTAGTGGAGGTTATAAGGATGGTAAACCAAGTGGCTAGAGTCAGAAATTTTGCTAAACAGCGCAGTTCTAGTGTTTTTTTTTTAATTTTAATTTATTTTATTTATTATTATTATAAAAAAAGTCTTTTCAATTTTGTTTTACTTTCTAAATTTTTTTGGTTTTGATTTTTAATTCATGATTTAGATAGTATTTAAAAGTGTTGTAAAAATATTTTTTTTAAAAATCACTTTAAGAACTAAAGAAAAGGGTGCATTTTTAATTTTCTAATTAAAATAAGACAAATTTTTAAAAAGTTTAAAATCAAATTTGGGAAATTATAAGGCAAAAGTCATATTTTACGTACTCTATATTTTTTTAGCATATGTTTCAAGTTGGGGAAAGAATTTAAGGGAATGAAATGGAATAAGTAAAAAATAATTTGATAGAAAATAGGTAGAAATTAGAGTAAAAATTGTAATTATTTATTAGAGTAGAATTAGATGAGAAATTATAAATAAAAAAAAACATATTTTTAAATTATATTTAATATAGTTAAATATTTTGAAAAAATAAATATTTTTACCAATTATTATCTTAGCCCTTTCTCTCTTTTGACATATACTATTTTATTTGCATTTTTCTTAATATAAATTAGTAGCATAATTGGTTATACTAGTTAACATATCTTATTATACTACGTTTATTTAGAATGTCTAAGTTCAAGAGTTACATAATCAATTATTATATTAAATCTTTAATAAACTATGCAACTTTGGTACATTTCAAGCATGTCACATAATATATTATACGTCAACTATAATTGATTACTTTAAATTCTCATAGTCTTTCAAACACAAATAACATGTAACATAATACATTAAGATATTGATGAGTGTTTTGTAAGAAGATTATTTTAGTCATTCAATTTGTCCAACTTATTCACAAATCCTCACCCATGAAAAAGATAAGGGGTTACTTGTATGATCTACCTCAAAATCTACTTAATTCTCCACGATTCCACTTTACCAATCACACTTGTATTTTTATTTTTTTTTTAAATCAACCCGGTTTCCTCCCCTCCTCTCAAATTCATTAATTCGCACCCCCAAATACGGTGTTAGTGGAGACCGATGACAAATTAATATCGGAGTGACTAGTGAAGAATTATTAAGCATAGATAATTGTAAACTCTTCTAAATCATGTTAGAAGAAATATACTTATATTTTAGAAGAAAAAAAGGTTTTACAGTCACATGTTGAATTAGTGACTATAAATATAATGACTATGACCAAGGCTACCTGTATTAAATTTCATTCATTTATAAGTATTCGAGTATAAGGACAGAAGCATCAAATAGTTGTAGACACTCGTACAAACACGTGGAGTAGCCAGATAGGGCCAAAGCTCTTTAAATCGATACACCAATCACATATCTTCTTTCCTTTCAATAATGCAGATGCAAGATCTGGTTGTGGATGGAATCGATGCTCACGCCACATCCCACCACTTTCCTCTTGACGAGAAGGACTTTCATCATTGACCCAAAAAGAAAAAAGGACTATCATTAACATCAACGCAGCAGAGAGTAATAGACAGATATAATTAATTCAAGTAAGACTTCTGCTTCTTACTAATCAGTTTATCAATTTCCCTTTTTTTTCTCACAGATTCCGTCTATTTTATAAAGATAAAATAGAACTATTATTGTACTAATAATTTGTGCTATGAATTACGGAGTACAATGCTTGATAAGCACATGAGAAATATTGTGTGTACACTCTAATAATATTGTAGTTTAATTATTAATTATATGTAGTTACGTGTTGGTTTTTCATCTTTTGTGGTCTTAAACATGACTGGACCCTACAATGGAAAGGGGAATAGCAAGTATTATTACATGTCACACTTTAACATAAAATATTGAGAATTTTTTTTTCCACAATTGACAGAAGAGCCACCGAGAAACCAAGTTTGAAAGACCTCAAAAAGTTTTCCGTTAAAAAAATGGAGTTCTCCTATAAGGGAAAGGTATTTAGTTCAAGTTTTGCTTCTTCGTAATGTAGACAAAAAAAAAAAAGAGGAAATTAATTAGAGTAAGTAATGAAACCTTTTATTTGTTGTATTTTGCCCGGTTTTTCTTGGCTAGATTCTACACTACAGTGATGAGTGATGAGAGGTAGCCGCCATGGAAGGAAATTAAGGAGCTGACTTGGACAAATGAGAACCACTAGTTCACCACACAACACAAGGCAATAACATGCTTTTTCACCAAAAGGAATCAGTGTTGCGCCAATTACTTAGCTATCAGCTCTTTACAAAACTCTAGTCTAAGAAAAGTCCAAGGTAAATTAAGAAGAGCGAAGAACAAGGGTTTGTTCCGTCTCTAGGTTTTCTTGCATCGTACATGCCTATATGAAAACAAAGCCTTAGCTACTCTTTTGTTTCCGACCTTTTACTGTTACCCCTAGATGTCAACAAAAAAGATGGAGACCAAGACATTTTGTGTGGTCCTCACCCATTCTCTCATGTCCTATTTACCCTTCTGGGTTTTAACTATTTATATCAAAAATATTTATGCTCATGTCCTCCTTTTATAGCTATTCTCAGTCTTTTCTCCCATAACATAACCTTCTTCTGGATCTCTGAGGAGCTTATGGACAGGTCCGAGGGAAAGAGGGTCTTGAGGTACAAAGAGGAGGAGGAGGATGAGGATGAAGAAGAAGAGGAAGAGATTGAGATGGGTTTTGGAGAAGATGGAAGGAGGAATAAGAGAGCAATGACAGATCTCTATGGAAAGAGAGGGTCCAAAGGTGGAAGCTCAATGCCACCTTCTTGTCAAGTGGATAACTGTGATGCTGATCTCAGTGAAGCTAAGCAGTATCACAGAAGACACAAGGTTTGTGAGTACCATGCCAAGGCTCATTCCGTACACATGGCAGGGCTTCAACAAAGGTTTTGCCAACAATGCAGCAGGTTGACAAACCCTAATCACTTTGGACTTTGGAGTGAAATGAATTTTCTGAATCTCATTATGCGTGTACTTATTGTTTGCATATCTCTTATTGAAGGTTAATCTTTGCTGTGAACTGCCTGAGGGAAGAGGTTTGCTTAGAATTTTCTTGGTTATGTGTATTCTTTTTAATTTTCAAGCAGCCCTAGCTAGTTTGAGGAAGGGAAAAAAAACCCTTCAATTTTCAATGACTTATCTTGTGTCTTGCGCCAAGGCTCACCCTCTGCTTCTTTTGTTTCCTTCCTCCGATTATTTAGCAGACTTTGCTGTAATAAACTATTCATGACTTGTATTGTTTTATTTTCAAGAAAGATTTAGCAAGTCCGAAATGAAAATTTTGGGTAGAGGCTATAGAGTATAGACCATAGAGGATTCTATTCCCCCACATTATACTCTGATTATATAGTGCAAATTGTTGCTATCATTTTACAAAGTTAGAAACCAAAGATGGATTGAATGTGCTCAAAGTAAATCCTATTACTATAACATTCTTCACTAAAGGTAGAAATCATAGTTGACTAGTTGTTCATGTTAATATAGGGACTGATCTCAAATCAATATATATCTCAATTAGCTGATAGAAATTTCTTTGAATAGCATTTTCTAATAAACCTAGTATTGGTCCAAAATTTACTTTAACTTTGATCATTTAGACTATTGGAATCACCCTTTTGATCTATCAGGTTGACAATATATATTATTGGTTAATTTTAACCAGTACCATCCAATATTTTTGACAATCTTGATGCGTTATTTAGGGTAATATACCCATTCATCAGCACAAGACACGTTTTTCTTTCTAATCTTTTGGTACATTGATAGTATAGTTGCACAAACACTCTTTTAGACTATTGAAGGGAAGATTTGATCCTGTCCTGGTGAAAACTAAATCAAACGAGAGAAACATATATTGTTTCTCCAGTGGAGAAAAATCAATTCAACGTCTAGAAAAGTTTCAGTGTCAACTAACTTATCTTCAAAATGTTGCTTTTCAGATTCCATGAGCTATCAGAATTTGATGACACAAAAAGGAGTTGTAGAACGCGGTTGGCTGGGCATAATGAGAGGCGTCGCAAAAATGCAGCTGACTACCAAGGAGAATGACTTCTTCTATGAGATGGACATTAATAAGCATTGAGGCAAGCATGTGATTGAAATAAAATTTCCCATTGAAATCTTCATACTCAAATCATCGTTGCTGGTCTCTAAGGGTGCTCTCTTTCTTCTGTCAATATTTTATAATGCCAAGATTGCTGTTGTTAGTTTTTTATTTTTATTTTTATGGGGGATCGTTGCTGTTAGTTACAACTATGAAATGAGATTTCACTTGGAACTTCAATTATATTTTGGTTTTTGAGGAAAAAGGGATTTTAATTGAGTTTTATGGTTTGGTTCAAAAATACTAAATGGTGAGAAGGGGAATTTTAGTTCCTTTGTTTAGCTAAAAAAATTAAGGGAGAAGAGAGATTTTAATAATCATTCAATTCAAAAATTTAGAACAAAGAAAGAAAAGGTAAGGATTTATATTAATAATATACTTTTTTAACACACTTTATATTATTGATTAAAATTTATTTGAAATCACTATTATGGATTTCACTTCTCAGTTGATGAACTCTACTTATGATTTTCATTCATTTTTAACAAATGATTAAAAAAATATGTGAACAAGAGTATTAAAAAATATGTTGTTAATAAATATCAATTTGTCACTGCCTTTAATATGAGACGAATTTATAGATGAGAAAAGTCATCTTATCTAGTTATTTAATAATTTATTTTCTTAGTTAAAAATTTCCAACCTAACCTTTCCTTACCTTACCATCTTCACCTTTAAACCAAACCCTACTTGAACATGACTTTTGAGAGTAACGGTTTATTTTGGTTACTTCAATTTATTACCATTACAATTTCTCTGGTATCTTGGAAGGATTTTTTTCCCCGGTTGTATTGCCAAATTCCCAAAATCTTACTTGTATCACAAATTTTGTCAAAATGATGGGACAATTCAAGTTAGCACCATCACATAATTAATCGAATTAAAAAATAATAAAATTGTGAAAATGTGTCAAAAGAGAATATCAAAAGTATTTTGACATGACCTTTCTTTTTAAAATATATCGGTAGTGATGGCATCCTTGCTAGTATTGATGGATTGGTTGATCAATGTGAGGACACCTTGACTCCTTGGATCAAGTTCTTCAAAGGTGGCGTCTTGTTTAGAGAAGGAATATGGTGGAATGGATAAAAATGGAGAGTGTGAGTGAAGTGTTTGATGAAAGGTTTGAGAGGGCACTCTAGGGTTTGGCTCACTTCAAGGTAGGTGAAGGTCACTTCTAGGGTTTTGCTCTCAAGGTGGAGATAGGATGGGAGGTGGCCGAAAATAACCAAGGTGACTAAGGATGATATAAAGGTAAAATGCTCTCTTTATATTCAATTTCCAAAGTATTTACATGATGCCTAGCCTAGGGTATTTATAGGAGTGGGAGGCATCTAGGGTTGCATTTGGAGAATGCATGGCCGAAATTCACAAGACAAATGCATTCCAAATGAAATGCAAATGAACCCTAGATGCAACTTGGTGGCCAAGGATGGAATCTTTGGGTTTAGATTGGCTACATCTAGGTGCATGATAAGACCATGCAACATTTGCCCTCCACTTGGGCCTAAGTCTTTCTAATACCAAAAATAGGTCCAAGAACACCAAAAAAATGCGTCACCTCCTAATTTAAAATCCTAGCCCAAAATTAAAACCCTAATCATCTAGAACACCGCATAATACAAGGGTAAAATGAGAAGTACAAAAGAAAATAAATCCTATGACTAAGATATCCCAAAATATAATGGTAAAATTAGAAATACAAGTAAAATAAATTCTATGACTAAAATACTCCAAAGTACAAGGGTAAAATTGGAATAAAGTAATAAAATTCTATACTACTCAAATTGGGCCTAGGAGATGGATTCATACATGGTATCTCTCCATTCTCCTAGCCATGAACCATGTGATGGGCCTCACATGAAGTACCAAGGATAGTCCTCCATCAGGTAGTTTGTTAAAATATAATTTATTGAAATTTGTATGTAAACTTGGAAACTTTTTTTCATTAATATGGAAAAAAAAAATTTATCAAACACATGACTAATCTCTCTTAAAAATTTGAGTAGAGAATAAGTTGACATCTTTTCTTAACTTGAACTTTATGCATTTTTAAGACTCTATATAAAATATATATAAAAAAATTAATGAATGAAATGAGATAAAAAAAAATAAAAGAAAATTTGGAAAATTCTAAATGAATAAGAGTATATTATGGATATTGGTATTAGTTGACACTGATATATAAGTCATGTTATATTGTTGAATTAAAAGTCCAAAATTATCTAGTTATAGAGAATTTTTGTGTTTGGGATAGAACCAAAATTTTATAATGACTGCAATTTTAGAGAAGGTCTGAACTCTTTCCTGTTGGGAACAAAAAATCTTCTTTTCTTTTACGCACAATAATGATGATGAAAAACATATAAAAATAATACTATAAAAGAAATAGAAAAAGATCACACAAATTTATTTAATGTAGTTCAGCCCCTCATGCCTACGTCCACAAGGATGTTCATTATTTATTTCAAAATATCTTACATATATCTTGAAAATCCTCCCTTCAAGTTTTGTGGGTTAAACTTGAAAAACCCTTCTTCACAAGTTTTGGTGAAACTTGAAAACCCTTTCCTCACAAGTTTTATGGGTGAAACTTGGAAACCTCTTCCTCACAAGTTTTTTAGCGAAACTTTAAAACCATCATTCACAAGTTTTTTGGCAAAATTTGAAAACCCTCATTCATATGACTTTTTTTCTCATTTAAGGTGGTGACCCCCTCTACAAGTTAAGTAGTTCTTCTCATTTAAAGAGTCTCTATTTATTGACTTTACATCACTGTTTTAAAAAAGGAAACAAATCTCTAAAATAAATATAATATATTTTAATTCTAAACAATATCCTAAAAGAATTAATATCTTTTAAAATCTAAATAATATCTTAAATATTTGAATTTAAAAATTTGAATTGTTTTCCGTCTTAAATCTTTTATCATTTGACTCAACAATTTTGGTATAATTAAGTAGTATATAGAAGTACTTTTCGTATTCATAAATACTATTGGGAATTTTTCCACCAAATGCATAAGTAAATTAGCTAACAGGGACTATTAAAAATATCAGAAAAATATTTTTATTTTATCTATAGCAATCGTGTTTTACTTGATCTGGATTAGTTCAATGTGCATGTAGCATTTAGGTATTAATAATTTTAGGAAAAAAAAAAGAATTGTGTTTTAATTAGGGATGTTAATAATCGATCCAGTTTAATGTAAACTGTAACAACTGAGCTGAAAAATTGAAAATAGAAAAAACTGAAATCAAACAAAGTGATTTTTTTTTTAATTGAATTGGATCAGTTTTCGATTCCAATGAAAAAATCGATACAATTCAAACCAAAAATATTTTCTTATAATAAAATATACATCGTTATTAACCTATTATTAAAATGAAATTTCACATTTACTTAAAATGATGTGTATCATTTTTATCTTTATTTTTTTAACTGATTAAAATAATTGTCTAGTGTTAACGCTGATCACTTACCGACTTAAATTATTGTTTAATGTTCATTATTAGGTTAAAACCCTATTTTGGTCCCTTATAACTCTCTCTCTTTGCTTCCTCTCTCTAAAACTGTCTCTGTTTGAGAAAATGAAATCCTCCGGTCCTAAGTCCCCATATATAGCCATTTTCCAAAATTTCCAAATTTCACCCTTAGCACCTATTCACCCAACACATCCAAACCAAGTGTTGAATTAGTGAACATGTCACCTGCCCATGTCATATACTTAACCTCTCATGGAAAATATACAGTTGGGTTACGTCGTCATGTAACCCTGGTGATCCTGGCCACTTCATCCATCGGTATGACTCGGCCTTACCCTCAAACCGATAGCAAATAAAATGCTTAGAGGAGTACTTCAGAATCCACCTAACATCTGAAGTGGTTTATTATATAATCTTTGGAAAGTTCCATATTGGAATCCTCACCATGGGACTTCCAAATTCCATATTTTTTCAAAGATTATATCCAGATCTCACCAAGAGATCTCCCAATCTATATCATAACCTTACTCTTCTAGACTCTATTAGCTTTCCAAACCAAACACATATAATCACATTCCATAATTACATGAAATCTTTTCCATAACCATGCCACATTCCATACCAAATATATAACATCAAAAGAAGATATAATTCAACATTTAAAGTTTCATAAAGACTCATTTATAAAAGATCTTCCTCAAATAGACCACACGCCCGGCGCAAAACTCAAATAAAGACCTTTAGAGGTCTCAGCACCCGGCGTATTTATCCTATGCCTAGCGCAATTCTAGACAGAGACTCCCAATGAGTCTCCACGCCCAGCGTATTTATCCTACGCCCAGCGCAATTCTAGACAGAGACTCCTAGTGAGTCTCCACGCCTGGCGTGCTCAGATCACGCCCAACGCCATATCAACAACCAAAACACAAGGCCTATGTCTGCTAGTACGCCCGGCGTGGTTCCCTTCATGCCCGACGTGGTCCATCCAGAGACTTCCCACTTCAAATCGCACCCGGCTCAACTAGCCTCGCGCCCGGCGTGATTTGACAATGGTAGTCCATGATGAATGCATGCCCGGCGCCAAGAATTGTGCCCGACGCATTTACAACCAGAAACCCCTGAAAACCTTAAAAATTCCTTCCCAACATGAACCCAGTCCAAATTACATCAGTTCGAACCATTATAAGGCATAACCACTGTCCAAAAACAACATAATAAGTAATAAAATCAAGTCTTAACCATTAATCCATGGAAATCATGGAGAAACCCAACCAAAACCCTTTCCACTCAATCCAGCCTTAATCATGCATAAATCATGGAATTAATGTGATATTTCAAACACATATATACTAGATTAAGTCTTATAAGTACTACCCTTACCTTAGAAACTTCAGAAATGCAAGATTTGAACAAAACCCTCAAATCCCAATTCAAACTTCAATCTCACTTTCCAAGGCTTTAGAGGCTAAATCTCTTGAAATTCTAGTTGTGAAGATTGATCCTGACTTGATAAGCTTCTCAAATGTGTCCTTAGCTTCCCTCTGAACCAGAGTCTCTCTCTTTGCTTCCTCTCTCTAAAACTGTCTCTGTTTGAGAAAATGAAATCCTCCGGTCCTAAGTCCCCATATATAGCCATTTTCCAAAATTTCCAAATTTCACCCTTAGCACCTATTCACCTCAAATATCTTATTCCTTGCA